AACCTGTTAAAAGCGCACGAACACTGTATTTCGCTTAATACACTCACAAATCACACACCTCCACCGAAGCGGATCTTTTCGAAGAAATCAGAGGGTTATAAATTTACTCACCCTTAGTTCAGTTACAAACTGTCAAGCCAAACACGTAGGCTGTAGGAAAACCCGGAAATATGCGTAAAGGTGTCATAGTCTAGTGTTTTGTCACATGCCTCATGCCTTCGCAATGACATTTTAAACCCACCCGCTAGCGCTTCTTGGATTGTTGTCTTTTCCAGGAAGGTAGACATAACAAAGTTCAACACTGCAGGGTTAGTGGGGGATGGAATAAAAACAGTGACCTAGATTGATCAGATGCTTGTACTTTATATTTTTTTAAGGATCATTTGATGTGTCCAGTGGTGGCGTCGTAGTATTTCCCCCTGAAGAAGGTCCAACTTTTCACACCCATACAGTCACCTACCTCACAGTCACCCACCTCAATTTTATAACAGGGGCGGTGCTAGCGCGCGGGGGGGGGGGAGTTTCCAGGGGAAAAGACCCCCTGTCGTGGACCTCTGGACCCCCGCTTGGACCCCCAGGGAAAAATCTCGAGAGCCGAAAGTACAATTCAAGCGTGCCTTTACTAAGCTGTAAAAATTTAATATTAGGGTTAAAAACTGTTTGATGCGAGCAGTGCTCCGTATGTGCGAGGTGTTGTATGCTATTGCGATCGTATGGGTTGTAGTGGTGCGCCAGCTCTTCCCCGATAGGGGGATGGAACCTCCGGTAGTGGGTAGTACCTCCGACAGAGTGTAGAACCCCCAAAATCCTTTTTAGATAAAGAATCCCATAATTAACACAAAACATTATTATCCTTTAATTAAAAAAATCCCCGACAATTTTCTCCCACGGGGGTGCTAGGCTTCTACGACAAGGGGTCCACGAGGGTGGGGTGGACCCCTTGTAGGGGAGCTTGGACTTCTCGTCGGGGAATTCCTGGCGCCGCCCTGCTCTATACTTTTTAAAAATGTAAAGCCCTGGCAATTTTGGTTCATGGGCCTGGAAATGAGCTCGTTCTTTCGTCGCCGGCCGTTTCGTCGGCGAAGCTCGAAAATTCGACGGGGAATAATGTCTTATGCAGAGTTGTGACATAACAGTTTTCCTCTACGAAATCTTCATATTAGTACTTTAAATGTACTATGTAGGCCTACTATAAAATACTTGAAAATTTATAGATTGAGAACAAAAGTAAACACAAAAAAATGAATAGGCTGGGTTGTAGGTATGATACCGGTACTGCACAATGTATGTGGTTTTCCTTTTAACTCTACTATACCCGAAGGACAGTTGGCTTAGTTTTTCAATTGCAAAGTCACTGTACAGATCATCAATTGGGAGGCAAGAAATAGGAATATTTCTGTCTTCAGTCTAAGGATTGGATCATTGTATGCCACAGTTTTTGTTTTTTGTTTTTTGGTTTTTTTTTACTTACTAAAGGTTGTCAGGCCCGTAGCCAGGGGGGCTTTTTATGGTTCGGGCGAATCCCCCCTTTTCTAGCGAACTCCCCTGTTTTCTAGCGAACCCCCTCGAATTTTTGAATGAGTCCCACACGGAAAGAATATCTGTTTTTAACTTACCCAGCATTAAATCAACATTTAGCACCTAATTCATTATTTGGTCACCCGTTTTTAAATTGTAGCCTGCGATACAAGCCTACATTCATAGAATATCTCAGCTTCAGAAGTTCGGAGATTTAAATTGAACGCAACTCCGGCAAACCATGACTTTATAGCTCACATACGGATGGCAAACATCGATAAAAACTGGTCGGCTGAATGTTTGTAAGAAATGTACCAACCGTTAACGAAACCGGTCTCCGTCTACCTAGAGTAAATGGCGCCACCAAACGAACATAAAGTTTTGCGACTTAATCCACCAAATGCAACTAAAGTTTTGCGACTTAATGATTGTGGATTGTGTGGTTAGTAAATTCCATAGCCATACTGTCCATAGCGCACACTAAACTATTTGCTGATGGAGCATTTTTTGGGAAATTGACTCTACTTTTTTCCATCCCAAACAACATATTATTAATAAATCAACATGGTCCATCTCAGTCATCATAGCTAGTCACAAAATTAGGAAGTTGTTTTCAACAGCAGAACGGAGTGCGTCAAAATCTAAAAAATACGTACAGGCACTTTGTAATACACATTCCCTTGTTGTACAGTATGACATGTTTCATTAACATAACATACACTGAGGATCACCAACGAATTGGGTGGGTATTCAAACTTTTACGATATGGTGAACTATTTCGATTAAAATGTTAAAGTGATTAGATAAGAATAAGATGAGTCACTGTCAATAAAACAATTCGCGGAAGAGGAGAATTCAAAATATCGGTACTATTAATGTGGGACTAATCAGATGACTGACGCCGTTCTCCATCGACAATTGATTTTATGTGCATTACCGGTATTTATCTACAATTCCTATCTACAGTATATACACTAGAGAATATTTACACTCACAATTTAATAAAAAAAAAAAGGTTACCAACAACAACATCTAAATAGCTGTGGGCAAAAACAAATTATCAGCCTGCTCCTCTCTGCCTGAATAGTGATCGTAACTGAACAATAATGATGCAGCAACACGCTTGGTCAACTTGTAAAAATTTAGAGCCTTCTGCTGTCTGCCCATAAAACAGGTTTTGGAGTGTTATACAGTACAATTTCAAAACATTGTTATCGTAAAGAAACAGCTATAGTATTGAAAACAAACAACTTGAAACAAAATCGGTGTACGGATTTAAATAAATATTTACAATAGATTTTAATGGACAACTTAATGTCAAATTTTACGACCAATTTTTACATACATTTGTGAGTGACAGAGTGTAATAGACATGCAAAATCAACATTAGCGGCTATAGCTGTATAATATCTTTGAATATCATTTTAGACTGATTCATTCATATGCTTGGTCATCTTGTAATCATTTAGAATTCAACAGTTTTTAATAATAGGGTCCGTATCTCTACACTTCTAGACGTAGTATCAAATTATAGTTGCCATAGACCCAGTTTCATACACACTCGCTTAATTAAATTTCAAAGGAAACTGTTTTCCCAATTTTTCTTATTGTTAAATACTCCTATGTAATACTGTAGGCCCCTGGTATAAAATTGACAGATCAATTAGACACTCTGAAAAGATCGAAAATGCCCTTTTATAAAATAAGGCCATAGGCTAAAGTGTGTGGAGTACTGACTTTGTTAATATCGAATGGGTGAAATTGCGCACAAACTTCAAACTCTTGGCCTAACATACAATGCCAGAGGAAAGGATATCACGTTTTAGTCACCAAAAAGGATTTTCCACGGACGCACAGAGTAGGCCTTTGAATAGTATGGCCCAAAGCGAACGAGTTTCTGGTCTCGAAAATCCAGACACTTCATTAAGGCTTGTACAGTACAAAATACTGTACAGTATATAATTCATTGAAAAAGCTTTAAAATGAAGGACTTTTAAATGAAGTTTATGATATATATAATAAATATTTTGAGAATCTTGGGTTTTTTAAAAGCAATCTTTGGATTTTTTAGACCCAATCTTGAATTTTTATTTTTCCTAGTGGTCACGCTGCATTTAGAGACAGAATTATACCCCGACGACATCTAGTGTAGGCCTAGACTTAAGTACAGTAGGACGTAGGCTTAGGCTTTTGTTGTAAAAGTTAAAGTGCATGTACAGGATGCACCATAGGCCTATATTTTAAAAAAATAATACATTTTGTTAATTATTATTGGTTGGCCTGGGACCTAGACAGGCAGGCCAGCTTTGCCGTCGAAAGTCCTGGGATTCGACGATGACGTCAGTGCACATGTTTACAAACGCCATTGAGAATGAAAATAGACGCGCTGAATTTCGTTTGTTTTATGAAAGATACGGTAGTATTTATCGAACATTTATCTATATAAAAACAAGATTAATATTGTAGAAATTGTATTTCTAAAGATTCATATATAATTCATATTTCATTTGGTAGACAATAAATATTCAGTAAGATACTAAAAACGATTATTAATTCTGAAATGTGCATCAAATCTCAGCTATTATTAATCAGTATATATTAGGTTAAAATCTTAAAACAATAATTTCGAATTAGGCCTAGTAAACAAAAATTGTAATTAAAGTTTATGTTACCATGATGTCAGATGACGTATTCAATATGATGCTATATTTTGTGATCTGACTTAATTTAACGATGGCCCTGTCAGTTGTAGTAATGACAATATTTGTGCATTTTTAGCCATGTAGTAAAAATAGTAGGGGAGAGCGGGGCTAGTTGGGACACTTTTTAAATTAAGAGCCTTAATTCCATGAAACATAATTGTTTTTTGATTTTTTTTTGGTATGAGATGGATATAATATTCATTAATAAAATGGGAAAATTATATGCAAAAATATTCATTATTTCAGGAGTTATGGCTCTTTTTATTTAAAAAAATCATTGTCCCAACTTGCCCCGCAAACGGGGTAAGTTGGGACGCACATGGGGCAAGTCGGGACAGACATAATAAATAAGACGGACATGGAAATTTTAACTAAAAAATAGCATCAATCATTTATTTATCACTTGTTACATACATACAACTCTTTATGAGCTTTAAAAATTTCAGACATAAATTCTAAAATAAAAAATCAGCCCATTAAAAAGCTCTACAGTATTCAGTAAACTTAGCAGCACCATGTCAAAAAAGCACCATAATAATGCTACATATGTTCAATACTGTACACAATTTTACTGACACAATTGTATGTTTATGTCCTAAAGTACTATATTAGCAACATTCATGGCAAATATAGTTGTCTGAGCCATCTGTACACAATTCATGTGCCCACCCTAGACATCCGCCCATACAAGCCACCCATATTTCATTGCTACGACTGTCTTTGTAGCTTTCCTCGCATACCAAACATAACCATTCTTGATCATCTTCCTCTTGCTGTTTGCTAACTAGCGGATGCGACTGGTGCCTGAAGTTGATTAGCGGGAGCGACTGGTGCCTCAACTTGATTAGCGGGAGCTGCTACTTGATCGACATGTGTTTCATTTGGGTTGGCACGATCGGTCGTCTCAGAAGGAGCAAACTCATGGTCCTTGAAAATATTCCTGTCGAAAGGACAAATACCCGATACTTTGAATCCGCTGACTATGTTGTCCACAGCATTTGCCTTTGGTAAAGCTTTAGCTACCATTCCTGGCAAGTCATAAATCGTCATAGCCTGCCCAGGATGGTTCTTGCACCATGCATCTTGTGTGCTGTGTAAATGCGTCTTAAATGGTCCATACACACCCCGGTCTAATGGTTGGAGTTTGTGCGATGTGTGTGGGGTGAAAGATAGCATGATTATGCCATTTTCTTTGGCTAGGTTTATTACACTAACAGCGACATGCGAAGCATGGTTATCCAGCAGAAGTAGAACTGGATGCGTCTTTGATGGACGGACATGCTTTATAAAATGATTCATGAACACCAGGAAATCAACTTCCGTCATCCAACCTGATCGGTTGGCAGTACCAATACAACCCGGTGGTCCATCTCGAATGAAATGATCCTTGAAGTGTACGCGAGGAAATACAAATTGCGGTGGGATGGCATTTCCAATCGCATTGACTGCTTCGCATAAAGTTACCAGTGTTCCTCTTTCTGCCGTTGTGATAGCTCCAACTTGGCGCTCACCTTTCTTTGCCACTATCTTGCTAGGCTTTTGCACAGTTGTCACTGCAGTTTCATCTAAGTTCCATATGTCAACTGCCGCAAACTTGTATCTATCAAGCACACTTGACAACTTGTCAAAAAACATTGTGACATTATGCCGGTTGAATGCGATTGCCCTTCCAAGACTGGTTGCTTCCGGCTGCCGAATACTTATGTCTTCATTCCTCTTCATAAATCCAGTGAACCAATCTTTCCCAGCCTTTTCCCTTTCAATCCATGAACTAGGCCTTGTAATGTTGTATGTAATAGTGCATTCATATGCCAACTTCCTAATTTCATGAGGTGTCAAACCAAAGAATACAGATGCAGCACGCTTAATGTAGCTGACCAGCTCCCTTTCTTGCTGGTCAGTGAATACTTGACGCATCTTTGTGTAACCAACATGATGCTTTTCAACCACGGCAGAGACATCTTCAATTCTGTCCATTTGCTTATCTGAAAATATAATTATCGAGAATTTAATAACATAAACAATTCTGACATTAAGTTAAATAACAAAAATAACAAATCAAATACAAATTTTTAGAACTGCTCAATTTAGTATGCACATGTTACCTTATTATTTTTTTTAAATTAATTACAAACATGATTTCTCCACATTAACAGCACCGCCATCTCAACAGTCATCCATGAATAAATAGAGTTAGAGTGGTGGATTTGCGTGATTCATTTGTTGTACAAAATAACTTACCAGATTTTAATTTTTTTACATGTCTGGCTAAGGTGGATTTAGAAACACCAAGATCAGCTGCAACATCACGCACACTCCTTTGTTCAGTCAATACAATGTAAACAGCCCGTTTGATGAGGTCTGCATCTTCCCCACGATTAGTTTTCCGAATATAAGTTCTCATCTGCAAAATGCAGTTTAAATTAATAAATAAACAATTAAATAAATAAATATTAATGTTTTCATTATGCCTAAACACTAATACTAACTAAAATGAACATATTTCTGTCAACAAAGTATGTATAAAATAACTGTATTCACTTACAATTTTAATAATAAATATTTTAAATTAATAATTACAGGTCTAGGCTGAGTGGAGGTTGGACTAGCCTATGGCCTAGGGAAGCCTTTAACTGTCACTTATTAATAAAATCATTCATGTAAATTGATAATATTTATACTTCACAACACTATTTATGGAATAATACAATTCAGATAAGACATAAAGTGTATGTGGGGCATGTTGGGACACTTCGTCCCAACATGCCCCAATCACTCATTCACAGAACAAAGCCTAGCCCTCCGTGAAAGCAGTGATTTCATCACACGAGGCCTAGTACAAAACATAGCTTAAATAACTATATTTATTAGGGGTAAGTAAGGATGAATTTGATCATAATGATCTGGATAAAAATACAAATATTAATATCACGTAAAAAAATACTTACAGTCAAAATTAAGGCGTAAATCGTGCTAAATAGGCAAGAAATCCTTGTATCACGTTGTAACTTCGCATAAAGGTGCTAACAGTGAGTGATTGCCAGAAAGTTACGGAAATTTTCCCAATTTATTTTTAATGACGCCGTAGGAGTCACTGTCCTAACTTGCCCCTGTCCCAACTAGCCCCGCTCTCCCCTACGTCACTGTGTAACTAACTGCGACCTTCTTGGATGTTATTAAATGTTAGTATATTATCTACAACAACAACAGCTAGTACCTCCTGTTATAAAGTGTAGATAGGTACAGTTATACCAAAGGTTAGAGAGAAAGAGGATAAACTATATAGGCCTAACTACAGGCTGAGGTCTTACCTAGGCCCCCTTAAACTAGGCCTTTGGTCATAGGCTGACACAACAGTCACGCTTCACATACTGACATGGACTGAAATTTCTGGGGGAAAATGGGACAAAATTGAAGCATGAAATGAAAAATAGAGCGCATAAGAGAAATATTAAATAAATAATATAACATTCCGGCGTTATTGAACTTGTCCAAACTATCATTGTGTAATTAATGTTAAATAATAATAATAATAATAATAATAATAATAATAATAATAATAATAATAATAATAATAATAATAATAATGTCAGCATCATATTACCTTTGGCCTAAGCCTTGTAATGAAGAACCTACAGATAATGTACTATTTACTAGGCCTATAAATAATAATCGCCCAAGGGGAATATCTTTTGTGTTATTTCCCCTTAACGTCGTTTTTTTTAATTGTTCTCTAATTCCTCCATTGTCTAAGTTCCCCTTAAGGTAAGGTAATAATAATAATAATTAATAATAATAATAATAATCATTTCAGCATTAATTACCTTGGCCTAAGGCTTGTAATGAAGAACCTACAGATAATATTTACTAGGCCTATAATAACTAGCCCAAGGAGAATATCTTTTATGTTATTTCCCCTTTGTCTAAGTTCCCCTTAACGTACAGGTAATAATAATAATAATAATTATTATTATTATTTTTGGGCATTACATGTAATTAACTTGGTCTAGCCTTGTAATCAAGAACCTGCGGATTACTATGCCTAATATTAATAACTAGCTCATTTTTACATTCATTTGGTGCTCTGCCATTTTGGCAGGTCTTATGACATCCAGTATTTTAGAGCTGCCTATTCTCAGCTCTTCTCTTAATTTGAAAATAACTGTCATTCTGTTTCATTTGATCAGTGATGAAGAAAAACGCGCTTTTCCTTACTCTTTGTGTTTTTCCCAGAAAGCGTTTTTAGTAGGCCTACTTGTAGGGCTAGGTAATTATGCAAAACCCAGGCCTAACTAAAAAAATTAAAATTGTCATAGTATGTAACTCAAGTTAAAATAACACTTTTCATTACTCGTGCAGCTTAATCAAATATTATATGTCATTTTAAACGACCCACTGGTATTAACATGGTAACATCGATGTATTTTGCTGCGAAGCAGTCAATTCATATTCTTGACAGCAATTTGACCTCTGAAAGGTCATTGTTTGTCAAAAATTAATCGCCTGAGACAGCTGAAAATCGATTACTTTAGGCGACGTTTGTAGGCTAACCTACTCATACCAACGTCGGCATGTCGCGACGCTGGAGTACTATTCAGCGTTTTTACTATATTTCTAGGTTTCCTATTTCTACGTTTAATCGGCTCATGTCTCAGCCACAATATTTTGAGGACAATATTATTTACGAACCCAGTTAAACTTATTTAATAGCCTATTTCAACGTGCTAATTATTACATTTAGGCGACGCTTGTTGTTTAGACTGGCATAGTGTTTGCGGAAATAAATACCATTTTATACACATGCGCAGATCGATTCGCCAGCAGCGAGTCATCGCCAGCAGCAGTGAGCCATCGCCAGCAGAGAGATGTCACTGCAGCAAAACACTATTGTACCAACGCTGTTCTAATAATATAGACAATGGGTCGTGCTCATATTATTTGTTATATTTTTATTATTCATTATTTTCACTTGACTCGCATAAATAATTTTGTTCGAAGAAAATTTTATGCAGTTGTACTTCGCAGCACTTCACTTGCAATTTGCAATTTCTAGTTTTTAAAATTAGACAGCGACGTTCTCTCAGAAGTTGTTCTGTAGACCTTTATCTGTTGATGACCTTTTGACCTCCTGAATTCTGCAATGAGATTTTCGGGTCGATTCAGCCGAGACGGCCCGAGTGGAGTTTTATGTAAATGTTTCGTACGGAAAAAAAATCGCTACCCGTACTAATAATGTATTGGTTAAATAAAACAACACAAAAACAACATATAACAACAATAAAATTTAACAGGCATAGAGTGGGTATTTTTTCTTACACATAGAAAATCATAAAATTCAAAGTTTGTTTGTTTGTTTTTTTTTTTTTAATAATTTTAAACATAATAATCTTTAAAATAATGTAGGCCTATAGATCATTAATATTGACCAAGTTTTTCCAGAGTTAAAACTATTTAAGTATGTAACATTCACTCAGTGGAATTTGAATTACTGAGTAATCGGAAGTTGATGATAAGCAATTATTCAAGCAGAAATGTTTTGTGTGTTGATAAAGTATGCAGATAAGATATGACATTGATTTATTCACACCTCTTAATTACAGACATTTTTACAAATTATGTAAATTTCAAAATGGTTTAATGATATTATCACATCTTAAAACCACATTTAATGTCATATTGATTTTAAATTATTCTGACTTCATCTTTCATTCACTCTCACTATAATACAACGTTTCTAAAACAATGTTCTCTCAAATTATTTTAATAATAATCATTCAGTGAAGTATTTTTGGTTATTATCACGTTTAACACGTATGGTATATCCGTGAAGCTTTAATAAAATAATGGGTTTAGGGTTAACCGGGGAAGGGGTGGTGTAAAGAATTGTACATCATTATTTGCAGAAAGTTGATGTATTAAATCTCTAGGCCTATACTAGCATAAGTGGTGATTTTATTTCAGGATACTCAAGTCTCTGTTACTACTGTAATTAAGTGAAAACTCAATCTGGTCACAACTTAATATTGTAGTTGAAATCATTAATGTTTGTTTAAAGACGTAGCAGTGAAGGAACAAAAAATTACCTGACATTCTTAGTGCTTTAATAAAATAATCGGTTTACGGTTAACCAGGGGGGAGGGGGTGTAAAGAATTGTATCATTATTTGGAGAAAGCTAATGTAATCAAAAGGCCTATACTAACAACATAAATGGTGACTTTATTTCAGGATACTCAAGTCTCGGTAACTACTGTAAGTGAAAACTCAATCCAGTCAACTCAATCAATGTAGTAGGAAAGCATTAATGTTTGTTTAAAGACGTATTACCTGACTTACTAAAGGTAAATACAGTATAATGTTTTGTTGACGTTTTATTTTTACTGTCCTGTACTGTTAATTATTAAGAACATGCTATAGATGATGCTGTAGTTAACATTATAGAGTTTAATCAAATTTAATATGTATATATTTGGCCTATATAGGCCTTAAGGGATATTAAAATTTTAATGTAGGCTAAGCTGTTTTAAAAACTAAAAAAAAAAACAGTTTTCATTGATTAAAAAAGAAGTAACTGCTGCTAGTCTGTCATTAGCTACATATATGTATATTACTCCTATTTCAATACAATAATAAAGGAATGTAATACATTTAATATCGGTTTCTATAATATGCACTCTATATACTGTATAATTTTACCATTATTATTCTTTTTAAAGATTTTGTTTTGTTATATCATTCAGCAAGATTGAAACTCCGAAAAATGTTAGTACAAGTCACAGTGATTCAATATTTCAAACTAGATTTGTTCAACGGCATAATTCATGCTAATTTAGCTTGGTACCATCGGACAAGAAAAGGTATGGTTATTGACAGTTGCTGTTGCAATAACACAAAGAATGCTGGTTTATGCACACCTGTAACACAAATGGTTCTTGAATATTGTTTTATAAACTCTTGTTAAAGGACTACATTAGCAAAGCAAAGAACTGTAGAATAGCCTTGAATTTGTGGTACAGTATGTTTAGCAGTAAGACATTAGCAAAACGATAATATATGAAGGGGTATGCTAGTAAATGAGACCTTAGGGAAGTAATGTCCCTACCGTATGATGTTTGTTGGTGTTTTAAATTAAAGAAATTACGGTTTGTATATGAACTCATAGTGTATTTTGTAAGTCTGCAGAAGTTGATTAAAGCCATTGTTACCAATTGGAACTGGGACCATTGCAAACCAATTGGAATTGGGGCCAGTTAAAGTTGAATACAAGTTGAATTGTCCAAAAACACGCAACACCCACATTTTTTTATTTTTATAGAATACACAGATTTTCTGTATAATATCGTTCAATTTCTATACACTTTCTATACAATTGTATAGAATTTCTATATTCATATTTAATTTTTTTAAAGGTTTTTTCTATAAAATGTTTATAGACTTATAAATGGTTTTGATAAAATTGTTTATACATTTTCTATAGTTTTTTAAGGTTTTTTTATATAAAATTTTCATAGACTTTCTATAGATTTTTAATAGAATTTTCATAGCTTTTTATATAATTTGTATAGATTTTCAAGTCTTTTAATATATTTTTTATAGAATTTTTATAATTTTTTTATTTTTTTTTATATATAATAATAGATTTTAAATAGAATTTTTATAGTGGGCTTCTATAGTTAATTCTATAGAATTTTCTATAGATTTTCTAAACAATTATGCTATAGACATTCTATAGTTTTTTTTTTTGATAGAATGCTATAGAATTTTTTAGTATGGGTTCAATGAGCTCAAAATGTATTGATTAGCCTGCATAACATAAATGTATTACTACTGGCATTATAAAACGTGCATCACGTCAATATATCTTTTCAGAAGGTAAAGCACTTTTGGCGATGTAATACATGGTTGTTGTCTACTAGCTTATTACCCGTATTAATAATGTATTTGTTAAATAAAACCACGCAAAAACAACATATAACAACAATTAAATTTAACAGGCATAGAGTGGGTATTTTTTCTTACACATAGAAAATCATAAAATTCAAAGTTCAAGTTCAAGTTG